GATAGATAGATAGATAGATAGATAGATAGATAGATAGATAGATAGATAGATAGGGATGGATAGATGGATGGATGGATGGATAGATAGATAGGTAAAATGTGAAAAAAAAAATGAATCACTAAAATAAATCCTGCCATTTCTAAACACAGATAGTCAAATGTTCCAGGTACAAAATAATATAGTTGTTTTTGTTTTTGTTTTTTTTTTAATTAATCTAGAAGCCAGTAGCACTGTTTTAGAAATTTTACTTAGAACAGTGGCTTCTCTAAGATCCAAAATAAATTCACCGTTAACTACTTCAATATTGCCATGAGCACCTAAAAATAAGAGACGAAACAGAGGTTAAAAACACTTGCTGCCGTAAATGGTAGGACCTGGAAAGGATCATCCTGAGTGAGTTGTCCCAGAAGCAAAAAGACACACACGGTATATACTCACTCATATAGACATACAACGTAGGACAAACCCACTAAAATCTATGCATCTAAAGAAACCAGGCAAGAGAGAGGACCCTAACTAAAATGTTCAATCCCCACCTGAAAGGCAAAGAGGATGGACATCAGAAGAAGAAGAAAACAGGAAACAACCTAGAAACCTGCTACAGAGGGCCTCTGAAAGCCAGAAGAAAACAGTAAACAAACTAGGAACCTACCACCGAGGGCCTCTGAAAGCCTCTGCCCTGCAGACTATCAAAGCAGATGCTGAGCCTGATGGCCAACTGTCAGGCAGAGTGAATGGAATTTTATGTAAGAAGTGGGAAATGGTAAGAGCTGGAGAGGACAGGAACTCCACAAGGAGAGCAACAGAACAAGAAAATTTGAACACAGGGAACTTCCCAGAGACGCATACTCCAACCAAGGACTATTCATGGAGATAACCTAGAACCCCTGCACAGATGTAGCCCATGGCAGGTCGGTGTCCAAGTGGGTTACCTAGTAATGGGAAGAGGGACTGCTTATGACATAATCTGATTGGCCTGCTCTTTGATCACCTCCCCCTGAGGGAGGAGCAGCCCTACCAGGCCACAGAAGAGGACAATGCAGCCACTTTTGATGAGAACTGATAGACTAAGATCAGAAAGGAGAGGAGAACCTCCCCTATCAGTGGACTTGGGGAGTGGCATGCATGCAGAAAGGGGAGGGAGGGTGGGATCGGGAGGGGAGGAGGGAGGGGCTTATGGGGGGATACAAAATGAATAAAGTGTAATTAATAAAAAATAAAAAAAGTTAAAAAAAAAGAGGAAAACCCCAAGTATTAAAAAAAACAAAAACAAAACAAAACAAAAAACCACTTGCTGCCTTTGCAGAGAATCTGGTTCAATTACTAGCACTCACATGAGGGTTTGCAACCATCAAAAACTCTAGTTCCAAGGGATCTGATGGGTACCAAACACACACATGGTGGACATACATACATGCAGATAAAACACACATAAAATATTAGTTTGTAAAGATTGTGGTTTTACTGCAAAAAGTTGGATTTTTTTTGGGTGGGGAAAGGGTTGTTTGTTTTGTTTGTGTTTTTTGTTTTGGTTTTTAAGACAGGGTTTGTCTGTGCAGTCTTGGCTGTCCTGGTCTTGCTTTATAGATCAGACTGGCCTCAGAACTCAGCTCTGCCTGCCTCTGCCTCTCTGAGTGTTGGGCTGACAGGCAAGTGCCGCCACACCCAGCTTCTTGTTTTGTTTTTTTTGAGACAGGGTTTCTCTGTATAGCCCTGGCTGTCCTGGAACTTAAATCTATAGACCAGGCTGGCCTCAAACTCACAGAGATCCACCTGCCTCTGCCTCCAGAGTGCTGAGATTAAAGGCATGTACCAATATGGACAAGGAAAAACACAGGGAAAAATCCCATTATCCTACTATTCAGAGCTAATCAAATCCAACATCTTGGTATAAATACATAGGTACGAGTTCTACAGTATTTACTAAATGGAGCACTTGTCTCTCCCACTTAAACTTTCCTGTGACTGTTAGTTTACAATGCAATCATAGTATTCTCTTCCCTGTTTAAATGTAACAGAACCCAATGCTACAAAATCACCAATGACTTGGTGAAGGTATGTTACTGCCTCTTGTCAGACTTCTACCACTTACTTCTATGTGGTCTTGAGAACAAGTTCCTTCTTAACTCAGCTAATTTTCCTTCACAATAAAAGATGTGGTATTTCTGAAAGGTTTTTAATCACCAACTTAAAAATTTGACATATGTACAAATTCTATTATGGACTTTCTTTCTAACCTGTCTTACAAAATTAAAGTATTTTAAGGTGGATTCCATTTGTGTGTGTTACTGTTTGAATTGTCTTAAAACTGTAACTCACTTGGACTGATATTCTTATGGGCACTACATAAACTGTGAAATAAGTGTATTTACAAATTCTACCTGGGAGGCAAAACAAATTTAAAGTGATAGAAATAATAATGCCATTTTAGCTTTTGTACAAAACTCATTTAACTTAGGCTGGAAAGCTGTTCCAAAGGTCTATTTTTAATTAAAGATAGAAGGTAGGATTAAACACTACCAAGTGGATTAGTACAAAAGAAACAGATTTCAATATCGATTTTGTCTTTACAGTTAAAAGGCGGTGTTTTAATTTAAAAAAGGAAGTATGCAACAGGTGGCTGGTGACTTGCAATTAGTAAAAACTCCTGGCAGAAATACACCATGTAGTAATCACAGCGACTCTAGATTGTGGGATGCTACTTAACCTTTTGTAGAACATAATGAAGCAGGATGATGCTATGGGGGTGTATGAGAAAGGTCATTATCATGGGCTAAACAGACCCAATAATATATTCTCTTGGAACATGCAAGTATGGGCTTGTCCGTGCCCAATCAAAACCACTAGTAGCTTATTTCATACTTATTACTCTCTACAATTTCCACCTAACTTGTTAAAAAAAATTTTTTTTTTCAAAAGCAACATACCTCAGTTCTTTCAGACAAAACATTTCGCTATGATCAAGAGCTACAAGGAATGACAACAGCAAAACTATTTAAGAATACAAAGTTATCAAGTATAACCAAGGCTGGACCATGGTGAACTGTTAATGCCACAACTCCCCAAAGACAACATGAAGGCAAAACAAGGGTTCAGAAGGGAAATAGCAGTAGCTACTATAATGTCTTTGTCCTGGGTGTCCTGTTTAATCAAACATGGTATTTTTGTCCTATTAATTAATCTTTAGAGAAATAATTACTTATACAGACACACAGACTGTGCATTTAAAAACACATTTAACATAATTTCTTAGAGACAGTAAAGACTTGTATTTAAACAATGAGGCAGCTGAATGGAACAAAGAAAACACTCAACACTCAATGGGATATTAAGTGTTTGAATACCCAACAACAGTAACAGTAGTTGATATCACTAGACAAACATGTGGTTTATAGGATTTTAGTCAAAGGTAGAGATAAAACAAACAAAAAAAAAAAGGGTAGAAATGACTTAAATACTACCTATTAACTGTTTCTTGGGACCTCTTAAATAAAATAAACTGCTTGTTTCCCCCCTTTTCTATTGCTTTGAAGGCTGTTTAGAAACCAATCTAGGTTAGCTAACTGCTCCCACCTGAAACTTCTTTTGGTCCTCTTCGTAGACGCTAACTAGATAGAAGATAATGGTCAATAGAGAGGGTCTCTTCTACTCCCATAATAGAAAATTTAAAACTCTACAAAAAATGTACTCATATGAAGCAAATCTAACTTTTATAATAATATTTTCATCTTTTCTTGAATATATGTATGAGTTTTGTTCTGGTGCACAGGCTAGATTCAAACTTGATGCCTCACGAGCTAGGATTTTCTTTTAAAACGACAATGTTAAAAACGACACTTATAAGAAAATTAAGGTGATTAAGAACTGATCTTAAAATAATGACAGTACATTTAAATATCATAAAACTGAGTTTTAACACATTATCAAATATAGTCATTACCTGGATAGATGGCTTGTTTAAGTGGCCCAGATTGGAAGTCGTTTGTCTGGGTTCATGTCCTAAGACCATCATATTAGCATTGATCAGTCTGAAGGCATCAATAACAACCTGTAAACGGAGGTGTTAAGTCAGTTCCTTTTAAAAAACAAGTGATGGGGCCAAGCGACAGTGGGCAAGGCAGGATCAACTTGCCTCTGGTTCTGGCCGATATCCAGAAAATCATTTAATTATAATATTAATAAAAAGAGCCTCCTGCTGGTAGTGCCATCAGTATACCATCCTCTATCTTGTAATGTAAGGTGACACCGATTATTGCAATGTTTCATGAAGCATCAAAATATTAACTTAGCATCTTTAGTATTAAAAATATGTTCATTACTAAGCATATATCAAATAACCTTCATTTTTGTGTGTATTTGTTACCTAAGTTTTCCTAGTCAAAATGAATGACAGGGAAACTAAAACTGAAAGTGAGCACAAGCTAAGGGACTACATCCAAGACCCAGCCCTGTCACTTCAATTACGCCACCACAGTACTTGAAATGACAACAAAATTGCAGCCAGCACGTCACTTGCCCATGTATTCTCTACTAGTCAGATACCCTTTACTTCTTCTGACTCTGAAATACTTTATACCTTGTCTGATGGCTTTAAACATCCAAGCCATTGCCAAGCCTAGAAGGTACAATATAAGAAAACCAAGGTCACCCATGCTTTCAGCCAGAAACAATACAGTATAATTACAAGTTCATAGAAAAAATGTTTATTTTCTTTTTGTCTATTAAAGATTCAAATTTCTTTGTAACCTAGTATCATGTTATTTAGCTCTTACATATCAAGAGATGAGTAAGAATCAGCTATTCTCCAGTATCTTACTGCTGTTATGGTTATAGTCATCTTATTATGCTTATAGTCATCCTCCGAATTTAAAAATAACTTTTAGAGATGTGAAGTTTTAGGTAAAACCAAGAGATACTAAGACAGACTGCCTCTTTCCAGGACAATCTTGAAACACAACAATTTAGTACTTCTTTATTCATCTTCAAAAGTATCAACCAAATGACATTATCAGTGTTTTAAAAGCTACTATTATCTGGATTTGTTTTCACAAACAAATGCACAAATATTAAAAACAAATATTAATACACAAATATTAAAAACTATTATTTTCAAGTTAAGCCAACTTTAATATAATCAAGCTTAAAAGTCTATCATAAGGGTTTGTGAGACCAGTCTGGTGGTACATACATTTAATCACAGCATTCACATCTTTAATCCCAGAGTTCCTGAGGAGGCAGAGACAAACAGATCTCTATGAGTTTGAAGCCAGCCAGAGTTACACAGTGAAACTCTGTCTCAAACAAAAAGTGTTATTTACACACTAGAAAGACTCCAAAGGTTATAGTTATACCAAACATAAAATTACACCAAAACATTACAAGATAGTCTGAGGTCTCTGTATACTCCTGTTGTCCTGATGATGATATAATAATCAAGTTTTGATGTTGCTTTTAATTCCTATGGTCTGAACATTCTCCAAAATTCCTTTTCCTTCAGAGTCAAGTATTCAATCAGAACCCTAAATAATCCCATTTAACCATTAATTGTAAATATAAAATAGCAAATAATCAGGTTTTTCTTTCAACTGCTTTATGATTCCATTCTTAGAGTTTGGTAAAAATCATTTCTAGAAAAAATTTTCATAAATTATGAAAATTTCATATAACATCCCAATGAAATGCTCACATACATTTTTATACAAACTGCTTTCAAACTAAAACATTAGACACCAATGTTCAAGCAAAAGTCAGTCATTTCTATGGAATATTGTAAACAGGTGTGAAACATCAAAAAAGAAAATGAAAATGCCAGTTAGGTCAGTTAAGTGGATATTATGACCTATTTTTTTTAACTCTGAAATAAAAAAAAAAAAAAAGAGTACTTTACAACAAAGCTTAAAATTTTTGATGTTGTTCAACTAGTAAATTATGACCCTATGAAATGACATGTTCAGACTGATAGTTCATGAGCAGCAATAGAAATGATTACACTAAGATTAAAGGAATTTTCTGCCATCACTATAGCAACTGTCTTAAGGAAACTAACATGTTCAAAAACCTGCAGACCAAAATTAGATTTAACGTGCAATAAAAAATAAATATGGCAATATATTCTACATTTTAGTTTCTGTACAATTTTATAATTGCCTTCTCCGCTGTGAGAATAAGTAGATTTCTTCTTTAGAACAACCTATCAAAATAGACTCATTAATGTCCAGTACACTAATGAGCAATGGGTGAAGAAGGTGTTAATTATGCCACAGTAAGATTCAAGAAAAAGCCCTGGTGAGAACTTGGAGGTGTGTTTAAGCTCAGAGCCTTTCTCCATGCTTGTGTATTTACAGAATGATGCAACAGAATGACAGCAAGTGGTCACTCACAGTTAGGAAAATAAACCAAAAAGCAACATACTAACAAAGAACTCTCAAGAATTAAGGCACTGAAGGCAGGAAAGGAAAGAATAATGAATTTTTAAAGCAGTCTGCTTTTTTTAAAATAGCTCTTTGAAATATGTATACATGAAACCAATTTGTCTGTACACCTCAAAATTTAACAACAACAACAAAAAAACCCCAAAACAAAAAGGACAGACAGACAGACAGACTACATCAAAATCACTTCCTTGCAGCAACAACAACCTCCACACTGAAGGAAGAAAATAACAAATCCCTGTCCATGATGAAGCCCGAGGAGCTACTGGCTCTCTATTTCCAGCCTGACCAGTTAATTTTCTCTGGTACAAGTGCCTTGAGACTTTTCAGAGGTCAGCGCAACAGTAGACAGCTTATAACAAAACCATTAGCAGTTTGGCTAGCTTAGGGAAACCTCTTACTTTCCTTTTTTTGTTTATTATCACTGCATGAATCTGCAGCATATGATAGTTTATAATTTCTCAGGCTTGTTAAATTCATGTTAAAGGTCTGTTTTCTTGTTGAATAAATTTTGTTCATATAATGCTGCCTATTTCATACACTCAGTCTTTAATAGCACCTTTGGTCTATGCGCAACTCACAGATCAAAACAGAGGACTAAAATAGGGGTTGATGATGCTATTTACATGTGTGATTCCTGCTGTCTTCTTGTTAGTAGCTTTAATATAATAGAAGACCTTGTCTGTTTTGTAATTAACACATCTTTACTGGAGAGATATTTGGAAGTGATTGCTGTGAATATACTGGTTAGTAAAATAAACACAATCACACACCACTTTCTGTTATCAGACAAATTTGTGAATTGTACACATTATACTCCAGATCAACAAACTGTGATATAACAGCCAAGTAGAAGACACATATTTATATAACCCTTTATTTTTCTGAAAATATGTATTCACTCTGACCTTGCAAATATAATTAGCTGTGGGATGTGCAGACTTCAGTACCATGGTTGCTTTACTAATTGCAACTCTTGGAAATAGATACTAAATATTTGGAAGCTGCCAATACAAAATAAAAACTGCATCTTTCTTGTACATCTGTCCTAGCTTACAAAAGCAAAATAGTTTTGAAAACAATACTGAGTTCTCTGTTTACTCCAAGCACACCCAAGGGTCAAGGACCTATTCTTTCACTTTAATGATGAATCTGGCTTAGGATTTAAGCTGTCATTATTTTCAAAATCAACTTAATTCATATTTTATACTTTTTCTATGAGTATTCCACAGTTCATTCATTCAACATGAGATTTTTTTTAACCCATGTTTCTCTAGGTCACTAAAAGAGCAGACCAAATTTTTAAAGCATCAAACTGCAATCCTGGATTTTATATTCAAAGGAAGCTTTTTTTTTTTTTAAGCAACACTCAATGTAATGTATTGAAGAGGTATTTTACTGTATATCCACTTTTTGCCGAGGTTACTGTTAGTCCCTGTGCCTCTTCTTCTCACAGTAGCTTCCTGTGGGATCTCCACTGTACCTACACCAAAGTCAATGACCAAGAGAACATTTCAAAAACATACAACAAAAGAACTGATGTTAAAACATTTATGATGCAGTTGTTTTCTTGAGCTCAAAGAGGTAGGAGGATGTAGATAGTCAGATTATTACACAACTATATGTCCGCCTAAGACCCATAGTTAGAAATGAATAAATTTTAAAAATTAAGACCAAAAGCAGTGGTAAGTATTTTAAAAAGAAAACAGTTATCAGGTAAGTTATATACTTAAAAGCATGTAAACTCAATGACATACAAAATCCATCTCTAAACCACTATGAAAATGAGAAGAATGGGAGGAAAAGCAGCACCATACCAAACAGTGCTGTTTGGAAATGGCCGCTTATCAACTACTTAGTGTGTTTCTAGATTCTTTAAAAATTAAGAATGGATGTGACCTGGGAAATACTGTGGGGGTTTGTGACCATTTCGTTACTTCTGCTGCTATGCACTGCCATGCATCTATAAGATAAAAACATTTTCTGTCTCTTGTAAGCCCACAGCATAAAAAATTCAGAGATATCTTACTTTTTATGCCATTTCCAATGAAAAGCACTAAGAACTAAAACTGACTCATGCCAAATGCATATCACTGAATTGCTGTGATTTCTTGGTCTCAAGTTTGAAACACGGAAATTATTTATAAAATGTCAATTTTAGCTCTGGAAAAGAAATTCCTATGTGAATGTACAGTTTCTTTCTTCATCCTCAGAGAATTGCTTACTGTAGCTACAGATCTGTAGTACAATTTCAATATACTAGGGAGAAAAAGGATGGGGCAGAAGCAGAATAATGTACTTTTCTGACAAGTGAAGGCATGCATCAAAATTCAAGAGTAAACCCACAAGTTTTGGACATACATCCATTAATGAAAACAATTTTTTAGGAACTAATATGGCAAAGATAATTAAACATTTCTAGATTCATGAAACACTGTGAAAAAATTGACTTGTTCTGGAAGAAAATTGAGCAGAACTTTTACTGTATGCATATAGTAAGCAGAGTATAGGAGATTCAGTGCCTACACATAAGTCAGTCTCCTTTCAAAGTGAAGATTCGAGGTCTATCACCTGCTAGCCAAGTGACCTAAGACAAGTTACTTAATGTCTCAATTTC